TGGGAGGTCACCTGGGAAAGTTTCTGGATGGAAGAAACAAGGAAGAAAGGGATGGGCCAGCCCAGAGGACAGGCATGGCACTTGGGCTGTGGTTGAAGAGGAGCTGCCTGTGATCTCTGCAGAAATCACAGGCCCACAACATTAAATAAATGTATTACAAACACTTTAATGTATGATATGGAAATGTGATTCACTGCGCAGTTGCCAGGTTCTGTGTCAAAGTCGTCATGCGGCTCTTGTTGTATGAAAAGTTAGACCACCCTGTGCTATCTCCTCATGATACCATATAATTGCACACTTTAATTTTGAAAAATAGACAAAACTTGTGTCCATTTCTTGAGAGTCAAAGAGAAGCACGATTTTAAAATAAAGATTTGGATTTGGACTTGAGTCAAAGAGTATGATTCTAACAAAATTAAACAGGTTTCCAAACCACTGAATCTCAGTCCAAACCAAATCAGTGTGCACCCCCAGTTACTACAGACTTCCACATTAGCTTTACTATGTCCAGATGATTTCTTTTTAGACAAGTTGGTGTCATTTGAATAAGACGAACTAACTCAGCCTCTTAAAAAGCAGATCAATGCAGTCTAGGTCCCCTCTTATCCAGTTAACATATGTGATTACAATCACAGTCAAGACCTCTGGAAAACAAAGCTTCCAGGGAAAAGACATCATTGGAAATGAAAAGACATAATCTCATCATGATATTTTTTGTTGGTCTTCTTAGTTTCCATCTCCATGCTAAGAGTCACTGCCCAATATGACTATTGCATCTGTACATAACCTAGAGGAAGTTTCTCCTGTCCCTGCATTTATTTGCCTTAATTAAGAAGAGGAAATAGTAGCTGAAGTATGTAATGCAGGGAAGACTATTTAAATTTTAATTGACCTCCAGCCAGCACTTGATAGGCTGAATGCTTTCAAATGTGGGGTTGGGGTGTCCCTGGCCCTGAAACCATTTGATCCCTGTGGCATGTCAAGGGCATGATCCTTCCAGGGCATCCACTGTAAATCAACTCAGCTGCATGCAGCCCTTCTCCTATTGCAGAAGGCTCATACACAGCAATGTCAATTTACCTGCCTCACAACTTCTCCCATTGGGGAAAGGGCACTGGCCAGGTAAGACATTCAGGACGGACCTCTCAGCTGGAGTAGGACGCCTCTCATTGGGTGGCTTCACCCACACAGTTGAGGGCCTTCATGCCTCCCCAGTGGTTTGGCCTTCAGCCCTGCCCAGGCCCCTGAGATCATATATACCAGCAGGGATTTTGAGAGCTGATTACTGTAATCATAATGTTGCATGGAGTTACATGGACACAGTCTTCCATCAGGTACATGCATGAGTATATTTTGATTTTGCCCTGTGAATGGGCATACACATCACTGCAGATATTTTACTGATTACTCCCAAAAAAGCTGAAATCAGTGGAACAAACTTACTGCCCTTAGAGTGCTCAGGTACCAACATTTCCTGCACAGTGCAGTAAATTATACTTGGACGACTAACCAGACTATAAATAAAGCACCAGCTGTCACTAGTATTCACATAAGACTTCCAGAATCCAACACTATGTACTGAAATATTTTCTTTATACCAAAGATTACTACAAGTTTTGTTTTTGCTCATATATTTTTAAAACAATGTTTTACCTACTTTCTTAGGATAACAGCATTTGGGCGATGGAGTTTCTCTAGAGGATCAGTGGTGACATTAATCTAACAAGAAACATAGGAAATACTTAGGATGCAATTAAGGATGCATCCTTTGTATGTCTAGACACCCAAGTCCTAAGCTCCAAGCATGCCCCAGACAGCAAGACTTGTTTCTGTGGAAGCATGCATAGGATTGCACCCTAAAAGCAGTATGATGGAGAGATGCAGATAAAGTGCATCCTCTCCCTCTCTTGTTGTAGCCTACACGTTCCTGCATTCCCTCAAAAACAAGATGATCTTTTGGATCAGTCTTGACATTTACATCAAGAGTGGAGTGGGCTCAGATTACAGGATCTTAAAAAAAGAAAAAAAGCACAGAAAACAAGAAGCCAGTCATCCATGAACTATGTATGGCCAGGTGCAAAAGAATGGCTTGAGGGTGAGCATATCCTACGGACGAAACTACATCTTGCATTAGAAGTATTTATAACTAATGTGTGTGGAACTGGCCACGTCAAGTTAAAATGAGGCAGGGGAGATATCTGGTCTGGGTTGGAACTGAAGAGGGAGGGGGAGTTTAACGCCATGCCATTTTCTACCAGAAAAATCACCTCTCTGAAATGGCTAGAGATAAATGGCTTTGAGGGAAATTTATGATAGGAAAATGGCAGAGGGGGAAGAATTACTGTTGTAAACTGCCTACAGAGCTTTGGCTATTGGGCAGTTTAGAAATGAAATCAATCATCTTCATCTTCACTATTCAGTCTTACCCTGCACCATAATCCAGATCCACATTCCAACCCTCAGGACGGTTTTTCCTGAGGACATACTAGTTCAAAGCATATAATTTAAACTACATTTAACTACTGAAGTTAGCAGTGGATTTTGAAGCGCAGGTGCTCATTGTGACAGTCCCCAAAGCCACTACCTGAAGGCTGTGAGTCCAAAAATGCAGGCAGCTGTGCCAACCCTATCAGCAACCCAGTTCTGTAAGTTCTCATCTGCACCAGGAGCAGGTCTTTTGTAAAGTCGGTCCATCTTAATTGTTCTTTCAAGATTAAGCCACCCCGAAATACTTTGCATTGCAACAGCTACTGTGAAGATTTCACCTATGCTCAGAGAGAGTAGGGAAGCCTGAGAGGGTGGCAAAAGCATCTGTGACCGTGCTGATCCCTTCTGGCTCTGCCTGCCTGTGAGCCCTGGCTCCACTACACCACTGCTTTTCACGTAACCTGTGCTTCAGCTGCTCGCATTCAGGTTGCCTCTGAGGACAAGCATAGCCTGGGAACTTCTTTTCCGGAATACCCCCTGAAAGGAGTGCACGGTCCTTCCACACACAAACCAATCTGGGTTTTTTGCGGACTTTTATTTCAGCATCCTGACTTTGCAAGTGGGGCAATCCATTCAGTAGATGATGTTGTTAAACCCCTGGGAGTCAGGACCCCTTGCTGAGCTACTGCAAACCACCCAGACATCTGCCAATAGATTCCAGTCCATCTGTTGCCCACACCTGCTGTAAAATTATGTCTTTTACTATTTTATACAGTTCTAAGAGTATTGTGAGATTTTGCCTTTACTCCTTCTTTGCTTTGGGATACATTTATAAACTTCCGTGTTTTTTAAAAACTTGTTACTCTCTAGCTGCTAATTGCATGGCACATCAGTGTCACCACACAGTGAAGGCTTTATGTGCTGCACCTTACTTCCTAAGTCGGGCAGTTCTATCCACACCAGCAAAGAGATCTCCTTCGCTATGGTCTGTGAAAGTGCGGAGAGCCCTTTAATCTACATGCTAAGCCAAAGCACACAAATGGCATACAGATGCCAATGCCACACAAGGAGTGCTGGAAAGAGTGATCCTATGCCACAGATGTCTAGAGGACAAAAAAGATCATTTGTTGCCAGCCCAACAGCAGAGCTAGGGAGTCACAATTTGGTCCCCGCTCAATTAACATGTTAAGTGCATCTTTGAGCTTGCAAGATATTGGAAAAGGGGTTTGGCAGGCAGGAAGGCAAGAGACCAGTGCTGCAAGGGTATGGCATATCCTGGTAGCACTGCAACCTCCTTCCCTCCCTCTCAAAAGCATGGTAATTAACCAGCTGAAATCAGCCGTTCCCTCTCTTTGCAGGCTGCAGGAAGTACAACTGCAGAACACAAGGTACAGGGATGACTCTGGCCTTCCCTCACTGTGTCCCGGATGCTCTGAGCAACCTAGGGGCAGTCTCACTGGATTGTGCCCTTAACTGGCCTTCACATCACACTCTACAGATCAGCCTGCAAAGAAACATTCCGTATATGGATGGGTGCTAGCTAAAATTGCTTGCTTGGAGAGTGGCAGATTTGCTGGAGATTCCAGGGACTTACCCTGAGATCTTCTGCATAGAGTCATACTCTCTGCTGCTCTTTCTTGTAGCCCTTTCAAGCCACTGGTGCATTATACTATTATACCAGATACAACTGAAGACAAGAATAGTGTTGATTTTTTTATTATTGCCATTAAAAATGGATGAAACTGATATGGAATAAGGGATATCTTTTGACTGCACACTTTAAAAAAATACAAACATATTTTGCAATGCATTTACAAAACAGTTTTCAAATGTCCTTACTTGAAGATTAAAACAAACAACCCCCCCCAGCGCACACACACAGGTTAAAATATATATTTTACATTATCTACACAATGTATATTCAACTTTGAACACAAGTCATTGGAAGATATTTGATGCGTGGAAAAAGTGATGAGACGTAAAACAAGCATTGAAAAAATACGAAACACGTAAATGCTCATTAAATAATTACATTGACAAATAAATAGGTTTTGTTCAAATTTACTTTTCAGCTGCTGTTATGCATGTTTTGTTTTTCTTTAGTAATTTGTTGGTTAGGTATATGTGCAGAAAGGAAGGTTCTGCATGTGCAATGATTCAATTGTATTGGAATGAAATTCGAAGTATTTATTTCCTTTTCAATGAGATATGTGAAATGCTGACAAAATACTTGGTCTGGAAACTGGACCTTTGAGAACTCACAACGGCAGCTCTCCACAATACACAATTAATTGAATGTACAGTTTTGTTTCCTGCAAAGTTAGAAATAAAATAAACATAAAGAAGATAAGTTCAGCTGTATGCTTCTAGCTCATCTTAAAAATATGCTCACCCCCAAATGTAGAAAGAGGCCCGAATGCACGGAATGCCCTTCTGAGTTCAGTGAATGCCACAAGTGTATGGCACCAAGCAACTGTGACATAAGAGGGCAGTGGGTTTTTCTCGTCAGGCAGTGCTATCTGTAAAGTAGGTGATTATTGTTACATTCAGTTTTTTAAATGCACAAGTGTGTTCTAACTTGTGGAATGCTTCATGGATTTGCTGTTCCTTTTCCTCTCTTTATGGTGTTGGATTGGCTTTGTTTGAGGCGGTCCTTCGAAATTATGGCTGGATTCGTTGTGCTGCCGGGTGTATCGCTTGCACTTGCAAGCTGTGACAACGGTGACTTTGTAGGTTCTTGTACTTCCATCTTGACACTGAAGCTGAATCCGCTGGGTGCGTGTTTTGTCGTTCACACATCTCCACTCTTGGGAGCTCCTTCTGCTCCAGTATTTGGATCCATATCCTCCGCCAATCCAGTTGGGCAGCACTGGTAATGGGAGGCACTCCCCAGCACAGACCAGCTCTTTCAGAGGGTTGATGCTAGTGCATTGGCCATCGGAAATATACTTAGTAGATCGCAGTTCCCGGCAGCCAACTTGAACACGACCTGTCAAAGACGAGAAGAATAAAATCAGTCTCCAGATTGCAAGCACTTTCAGATTACTTCTTGCACCAGAGTAGCTCACAAAGTGACAGACAAGAGTCGTACCTTCCCTCCTTCCCTCTCCACTATGGAAATGATGACATGTATAAGCCAGAGGTCCATGCCAACTTCCACTTGCACTGTTCGCATTGCTGCTCCTCCCACTTATTGCTGCAGGGCGATACTGTTGTCAGCTTACCAGCACAAGGAACTGTGTATGTGTGGTCTGCCCAATAGGCAGATTTACTCGTGCTCATGATGCAGAGATGCACAAAAGGGTGCACTGGCTTATTTCCAAGATACAAAAAGTCGCAAGATACCTCAATCACAGAAGTATCCACTATGATTTCCCTCCGGCACATGTCACACTGCTATTGTTTGGACATACGTACATACTGCAATTTTTATTTTATTAATTAATTAATTAATTTTTCGATTTATATCCTGCCTTTTCCCCATGCTTTTAACCACTGCACCAATGTTGGTACCACTTTTATTTTTTTCTAAGCAAGGAGATAAATCTTGTGAGCAAACCCTCCATTCAAGCAGGCATAGATCCTCATTTTGTGTTGTACCATCCACAGAGTGGAGGGACAGTGCTTCTCTACTCTGTGAATGCTGGGAGACTATTTGAACAGACAAGATAAAGTTTGGTTCCTTTAAAGTCAATGGACATTTTCGAAGCCCTGATGGATGTTACACTGGAATAAGCTTTTTTACGTAAATAAATGGCATACTGAGAAGTTCAGATAGCCAGCTTCTACTTTTCAATCCAGTGCTCATCTGAAGGCGTGAAGCTGTAATATATCACTGTAGACAAGTAAGTAGGCTCCTATCTGTATATTAGCGTTGGCCCAGTTACTGATGATATCAGAAATAATTATTTCATGTTACAAGGCTGCCTTTCATCTCCCTGCATTTCATAAAACATTATCCTGGATCTTGATCTAAGATGATTTACTCCAAGATGTTAGCTATTCATTTAGTATGAACATTTATGTGTGTTGGTTTGGGAGATTGGGAAATTACTATGTTGTACGCAAATAATTATAATGAACAAACATATGCATTTGTCCCATCAAGGACATCTAATGCTAATTCTGAGAAAGAAACTTAGAAATCTGTATTATATACATGTGTCTATTAACATATACAGTTTTCATTGGGCATCAGTATTGCAACACAGCTTGTGAGTACTGTTTCTTAAAACAAATATACTGTAAAACCTGAGGCAATGTTATTCCATTTTTTTAAGGCAACTGATAGCGAACGAAGGTGCTGAACTACTTGCAAGGCAAAGCAAGGCATGTTTGTGCCTGCTTCTTTCTGTAGACATCCGCACTGAAGTAAGCACAATTCCTTATTTTAATAATCACCCCTTTGAAATGAACACACACCATGAATTTCAACACACATCTTTCACTCATACACTTTCTCTTTTTAAAGTAAATGTTATCATGGAAACTGCCTAATGTTATTCAAAAGCACGGCAAATAACAGACTTAATGAGTAGTTTGTCCACACCCACGATAGTTTGGCTTACATTTGATTCTTTGAAATCAAGCCGATTGGAAGGAACTTTTAAAAAGAAAGCAGGAAAAGCCATACAAGAACATTCCTCCCTTCTTCCCTTGGTTTGCCTCATAATAAAGATCCATGGATATATTTATGAGAATGTTTAGTCTTGCACAGAACACATGGGTTGTGACAACTTGCAAAACATTTTTAATAGGATAGGTGTAATTGGTTTGTGCATATTAGTATTCCCAGAAATTATCTTCCTTAAGAATCAGCAAGTATTCATCAGTACAAATGGCATCATTCTTCAGCGCAATTGGGACCCACTCAAGAGCTCAGCAGTGCGCATCTCCCATTCATTCAAGTGGAATTTTGGACATAAGATCTTGTGCGATAGTTGGCCCAGTTTTGGTAAAGCCAAATGTGCATGCAAAGCCAACGTATTTTTGGTTCAGTGCAACAAGCAGTTACAGCGCCACTGTGAAGTGACTGCAGAAATACGCCTTTGGGTGAAGGGATGCACTAAAGTGTTGACATCTTCAAATGACTAGCCTGCTCAGACTACTTTTTGCGGAATGGACCTCTGCATACTCTTGCTTGCCTGAATAATTCTGACGCATATTTGCATCCTGCACCTGGCTCAGGAATGCAGCGGGAAGGAAGTGGTTACCACTTTGTATTGTCTGTCTTTTTCAATGATTGCATGCATACCTGCTTAGGTCTCACCTCCCCACCACCACCACCACCACACACGCACCCTTCTCTTCTATTCATGGTGACAGTTTGCTGGCAGTGAATGCCCATTGGGCTGTTTCAGTAATCTTACATTGACAAGATATTTCCTGCAACTGTAAGCCATGCTTAAAAGAAATGCAGTTAAGGCTTCTGCTTCTGCTTCAAGGTGTTTTCAACACCTCCCCCTTTGGAGATAAAGGTGCTCTATTTAATCAATGCACCTTTCATGATTTAGAGTAGTGCTATGATTTCAGGCAGCAAAAAAGCTTTCCAAAATCCAGCCAGGGAGCAAGGCAGTAGGGTGTGTGTTGCTGGGAGAGAAACACTTTTAAAAAGGCAAGTTGAAGCACAGATTCCAGCTAAGTTGTGAACCTGTTTGTTGACGCTGACTAGAGGAATTAAGCTAGTAAGCGCTAAATCGGGAAATAAAAACACGGCGCTGGAACAAAATCAAAGCCTAGCTGACGCTAAATGTTAGCTTTGTGAAGTAGCGCAGCGGAGCGCTCCAGCTGAAAAGCATGCGGTACCGACAGAGAACTCGAGGACGCTGCCTCTCCTGAACCACTCGGTCCCAGACAAAAGAAGCTTCACGGGGACAGGATCAGATAATCTCCCACTGCCTCTTGCCTTTTGGGAGGAGAGCTACACGGGGGGGAGAAAACGCGCAACCCTTTTTTCTATTCGCCAGCGTTTCTCTTGCTCCTGGTGGCATCTATACGCGATCTACGGAGGGAGAGGGAGTAAGAAGAATCCCTCGAACCAAAGTTTGACTTTAATTTTGGGATGTTTATAATAAGCCTGCCACATTTTGGCTCGGAAGTGAACCCAAGGAAGCTCTTTGTCGTGGATGTATTTATTTGCTTGCTTTAGGAGAGCGCGCGCGCGAGAGAGAAATTGGAAGCTGAGCGCTCTGCTCGAGAGAGGATTCCCCAGAGTCACTTCTGAAGAGCTTAATAACAACAAACAGAATTCCGCACTTGCAGCGTCCCATTTCAAAGGAGCAGAATGGGAAGGGGCGTGCGGGGAACCGACTGGAAGCGGACTGAGCACGCCTGCAGTTCTGAAAAGCGGCGGCAAGCGAGGCCAGCGCGCCCTGCGGGACACTTACTGCTCCGGTCGAATCCGGGGTGCCGGCCTCCGTGCCGCGCTTGGTTCAAGGTGCTGTTGTTGCTGGAAGCGGCGGGAAGGGGCTTGGCCACGTGCGAATACAGGATCTCCGTGGCGTCGTTCTTGAACGCCCAGCAGCTGTCCAGGAGCAGGCAGGCGAGCAGAGCGCCAGAGAGGTGGAGTGCGAGGGGGAGCATGGTGGCCCTCTCCAGCTGCGTGCGCCCGCCCGAGGGATCCCGGCGTGCTGCTGCCGCCGCCGCCTTTGCTACGACTGTAGAAATCCTCCCTCAAGACATCCTTTATATAGTTGCCGCGGCTTGGCACTCCTGAAGGTGTAACCTTGGGGAGAGCGCTGCGGATGAAGCGCGCAGGCAAGCAGAGGGTGGGACCCCCTGGGAACGGCGAGGCTTCCTTTCCCAGCAGGAGGAGGAGTGGAGGAGGAGCTAGGAGACAGAACCCGCGCGAACTGCAGCCTTTCTGGCCGAGGCCGCGGGGTACATCAAGGCCGGTGGGTGGGTGCGGAGGCGGGTGGAAGTCTCCGCTCCTCTGCAGCAGTTTGGAGCGCGCAACGCAGGAGGCCGCTCGCCGGCTTGCACGCAGCCTGCCTGCCTTTGCCGTCAGGCGCGATCCGAACGAGCGGCGGCCGACTGCCCATCTTCATTCAGCTCGGATGCAAAAGTTGCTGGTCCCGGGATGGTGCAGGGCTTATGGGGCGGGCAAGTGCGATTGGCCATCTGCGTGAAGGATGCAGGCTTGTGATCTTCAACTGCGGAAAAGTTCAGGAGATAAAATTCCTACCGAGGGCACTTTTGGGGTAGGGAAAAAAAGCTACAACCTACTGTACACGTAGTGTGAATAATTTAAGGGCAGCTTCGAGAAAGATTTTAATAATGCAGCTTTGATCAGTGCAAAGCTTTCCTTAAGCAACATTGGTGGTCAGGGAATTGTCTCTTCTCAGTATGCAGAATGTTAACGTGTTCTGCTGTGCGTCTCCCACACGACTGAGAGGAAGACAATTCTCTGGGGTCCACAAATGGAGGCACGTGCTCTTCCTATCAAAGCAAGTTTCTTCAGACCACATTCTGTGACTTGCATGTCCCATGTTAGCCCCACTGAACCCCATAGAAATACTCTGGAAGACACACTGCACGACTTTGCAGCTGTAAATTTATGAACTGTATACACAGATCAGAAGAAGATTAAAGCATATTTTACAGTGTATCATAAGCTGCTCTGCTAAGGAGAAACAAAATCATAGCTTGGTCTGTGGTGCTTTCTTGACACCTTCTTTCTAGGTCTTAGACATTCATAACTCATCATCTGGCTTTGCTACTGGTGCAGTGTTAAGACAGTGCACGTAATCTTGCTACTCCACCACCCCGTTGATGATTATGTCTCTTGTGGAATGCACTTTGGGCTTCTCATAAGGCTTTTAACACACCACTTCCCTGGGGCTTCGGCTCCTTTACATGTGGGTGGTTTTCCTGGTGTTTCTCTTTCTTTGCCTTTCTGTAAATTCCATTGCATAACCACAAGGTGGCACTTCAGTATACTAGTATTGTGAAAATACACTAGGTTCTCATACAACCATGTCCAAATAATAGTACATTTTCATCACTCTAAAAATAGCTGTGGAGAGAGTTGCAAAACACAGAAAGTACAGTGAGTGAAGAATCATGAGTGGACATGCCTGAAGCAGTCCACAGAGGCTCCCTATCTGGCTTGTTGAGACTTGGTCTCTCTCCATGTGTTCCCCCATCCCTTCCTGACACGGAGGTTACCATGGAATTGAGGAGAAGGCATGGAAAACATGTAGCTTCCACTCTTCAAGAAGATTCCACTTGTTATCTCTGATGTGTGATGGGACATAACGAGGATTTCCTCTGTCCTACTTCCCGTTCCAATGGAAGGTTGAACAACACAAAAGGAGATCCCTTTACTAAGTCCAGTTACAGATCTGAGAAACAAGGGGTTTCCTCTGGAGGAGCAGTGGCTGCGCACATGGCCAGTGCTTGCAGAAACTCTTCAGCATGAAGGTGAAGGACAAGCAAAGCTGGGCTGCCTAGTCGGCTGGCCCTAGCAGGAGCTCCTGCAAGTGCTAGCCAAGTTCTTACTTCATCTTAAATAATGTGAAGGTCATAGCATAGCTACTAACTCACCAGGCAGATTCTGATCTCAAAATTAAGCAGCAGATTGACACGAATGGCTCAGGGAGGGATCCATGGCCAGCAAAGCAGGTTCCTGTGTCATTCCTTGACAGGTCTCAGCTGGCTCATCTGTGAAGGACTCCTTGCCAGGGTGGCCGCTGCTACCAGCCAGAGCTGGCAGCATCATGGTCCCTTCTCAGAAGGGCCATAACTTGGTGGCACAACACATGCTTCCATGTCAAAAGTCTTGGGTAAGTCCCTGGCATCTCTAGGTATGGCTGAGAAAGATGTGCTTTTCTTTTTCCTGGCAACTCAGTCAATATGGACAAAGGGTGGGCAACTTGTGTCCCTCCAGAAGTTCAACTGCAATGCCTATCAGACCAAAACAGCAATTCCAGTGGAGAAAGATGGGGGGAATTACAGCTGAACTATACCCAGAGGGTCACAAGTTCCCCACCTGGGGCGCGGCCAATACTGACCAGAATATAAGGCAGCTTCCCCTGTTCTTGGATGAATCCACAGGCTGACTGAGGGACAAACTATACACAGCACCATCCATGCAATTAACAAGGCCATGAAAGACTTTTAAAAAGCATGTGTGGGTAGCCCAGTTCAGGTGAGAATCCAGGCATAGGAGCTTCAACCCTTGGCTCTCCAATGCCTGCAATTTGCATGGAGGGGAGAACTCCCACTGGAGAGAGTATGAATTTTCCTCCCAGTGCAAATAAGCAGGTGCTTTTATCCGAGCCCAAAGCAGAAGTGTGGCGTGGCTTCCTCTGCCAGGATGCGGACATTGGTTGCCTTCCCTCACTGCCTGCAAGTACAACTGGGTGCCATTCATACAATTACTTGGACACTTCCTGCAAGTTCCTGCATACCAAGGGTGGGTAACCACCAGGGGTCACAGGGTGCATTTCCTTCCTCATAACCACCAAGGACTATACCCTATCCCTGCCAAATTGCTGCTGAATTTGCTGCCAACTTGGCCACTACAGCAACATTGTTGTGATAGCAAAATTATGCTTCCAGGAACATTTGCAAGCAGTAGCACTCCTGGCCTGCCTTGCTTCCTTGCAACACTGTTGTGTCTTTGCCCCTGCTGTTAGCCCAGTGACTCTGGAGGGGCCAAATAAGTAGGAGAGGGTAGTTTGTCTGATCTGCAGGGCCTTTTAAGATGAAAAGTTACATCCACAATTACAAAACTAAAAATTACAAAATTGCACATCTTTAATCTTTATTTTTGCAGCCACACTGCAATGTGCGTACCTTCAGGAAATTCACTAAGCCACTTCAGTGGTTGTTACCATTCTTGTCACAAAGAAAAGGATAAAGAAAGAACAAGAATAACTTATTATCAGATAATCAAGAATAAGGTAAAAGAGTTATATTGTTATTATAGGATGATAGCGTTGGAAGATATCATATAGACCACTGAGTTCTAGGGCCAACCCAGGACATTTTACTGTTTGAAATAAAGACTATGGGACCCTACACCTTAAGTAGACTAGCTTACATAGGGAAGATCATGTGCCACACACTTCTTCCCTCAAACATGCTGCTGGTACCTATCATCATTTGCCACCTGAGGCAAATGACTCACCTTGCCTAATGCTAGGACCAGCCCTGCCCTGCTCAGCCCAGAAATACAATTTAAAGCATCCCTGCCAGGCAGTTGTCCACACTCTGCATGAGTACTTCCAGGAATGTAGAATATACTCCCTTCCTAGGTAGTTGGTTTCATTGACTTTGTCTGATGGACAATTTGAAATTTAACCCTACTATTTCTTGTCCTACGGTCTTGGATGACACAGGACAGGTTGTGGCTGTCTTCTGTGTGACATCCCTTTAGGAACTTAGTGATATCCTATCTTCCCTCAGCCTGCCCTTCTCAAAGCGATTAATCGCTTCCTTTAATCTTTCCTCATACAACTTAGTTCCTTGTGCCCTGGTCATCTTTGTTGCCATTTTTGGAATTTATTCCTATGTATCTGCTCAGAAATGGACACAAGATTTCAGGTGCAGTTCAGAGCTATCACTTCCAATGATATTTTAAACTATTGATGCAACCTAAAATTGCATTTCCTTTTTCTTTTTTTCAGCCACACCACACTTCTGACAGCTTTTCAGTTTGTGATTGGTTATACTTCCAAGATCCCTTTTATATGTATGATTGCAAAATCAAGTATCTCACATCTTATACCTGGGTATTTTATTTCACTATCCTACATGAGGAATTTCATACTTAATTGTTATTTCATTCTGTTATTTTTTGCCCAGTCTTCTATCAAGACAAGTTTAAACTTTGTTTCTGTCCTTTTAGTTACTACATATCGCATACAGTTTTGTCTGCTGTAAATCTGGTAAGTATTCTTCTCCATCTTTTGAACTTCTTGGGTTTTCCTGCCATGAAATCCTACTTAACCATGGTTTCAATTTATTATAATCAGTTTTCCTGAAATCCAAGGGAGTTTAGAAGATGTTTTGATTGTGCTTCTTTGTCAATAAATACACATACTTCTTCAGCTCCTTCAAAAGCGTTATTGGAAACAGCATCAGTTTGCATTTCTTGAAACTGCCTCCCAACACAGCCAATCAGTTTAAATACTGCCTTGATAATTAGATTCCTCTGCTGCAGTAGGGTTGTTGCAGGTTTAATATATCCTGATACTTTTAGTATAATTGGTTAAATTATGTACCTACCCAACCCTTAAGATCTGGGGTGGAGGTCCTTCTTCGGGAGCCCTCCTGGAAGGAGATTGGAGGGAAGCTACCCAGAGAAAGGCCTTCTCTGCAGTGGCACCATGGAATACACCCTGCAGAGAGCTTCTCCTGGCACTGACACTATTCCTTTTGGCACCAGGCTAAAACTTTTTTATTTTCCAAATATTTTAAAGTCTGAGTCTGATTTTAACGTGGGTTTTATTGTAGTGCTGTGCTCCACTTTGTTTTATTGTAAAACCATCCTGAGACCCCAGTAGTGGATGGTATATAAAAGTTTTTAACAACACAAATAAATAAATAATTTCAGTGAGGAAGAGAAATGAAAGACT